TCCCTTACAGATTCACCGGGGTATATCCAGTTACGCAGGAATGTGCACATAATGCAGGAATTGTGCAAAAGTAACGCAGCATTGTGCAATTTAGTGTCTAAAACGAGCACCGCGATAAGTAAATGGACCAATATTTTTATTGTACACCAAATTGGAAGAAATGAGTTAGGGCATACGGTTGCTGGGACTTTATACATTAAACCTCATCAGAAATATTTCCATGATTATTTTTCAAGATCATAAGTGAAAATGACAACCTGACTAGCGTATTGATGGCGATTTTTAGTTTCGTTGATATCTTTAAATACAATAACGTACATATAACATAATGATCTTTTTATATTCGGTGTACCTGAGACATTTTCTAATCTACTGTGTCATATTACATTAAATTTAGCAGATAAAACGTAACTGAAAGCATTTTTTACGAGGTAACGCCGAGTTCGTGAATGAAGCACTGAAACAACGGCAGTTATCACATTAAAAGTAGCTAAATCGTACTTTATCAGCTTCTTTCTCTTGTAGTTTGACAAACGTCTTGGGTATACAGAATATGAAAAAATAATGTGTTAAATGTACATATTTATTTGTCGAAACACAAAAGACACCGTCAAAACGGTAATCAGGTTGTCTTTCTCACGAATGATCTAAGAAAGTAAACAAATTCCTGAAAAAATTGTATTGCTTGTTAAAGTATAATGTAGAAGCAGTCGTATGCGCTAATTCATTTCTTTAGATTTGATTTAGAATAAAATATTTTGGTTCGTTTACGAACTGTGTTATGCGTTTTGACAATAGCGTTGCACAGATTCGGCGTAACTTTTACGATAATTGCACATTCCTGCGTTACTGGATATGCGCCACCGACAAATTTCATTACAATTAGGCCTTGAAAGAGTAGGGAAGGTTATCACTCATCATTGACAAATAAAAACAACTTCATTAGACTGTTACCCTATTAACAAATTCATATTTGAAAAATCATAAAAGCTTAGAAGCTTTTCACGGTCTCTGTAAGGTCACTTCCGGTTCAGCGTTTGTTTAACTCCGGTGTATTCTCAGAATCATATCCGGTTACAGCGTTGTTTTAAATTGGTCGACATATAAAAGGTTTTGATTTTGATCCACCCTAGACTGTCGTTATTGTCATTTGATTGTATTTACTCTGCTGGAATTGATAGGCTCGCCATTAATATTTATTCTGTAAGTATTGTCTAAAAGCTTTCACTTATTCTTTTTGTATTTTTATGTTTTGGTTGACTTTTTCATAGGCCAGCAAAAGGTGTTTAATGGTACGGTTATGGAAATTGTAGCTATCATTTTTCATGTAGATCAATTGATGGTTAGAAGAAATAAAAACGGTGCGCTGTTAGATTCTATGATTTATAAAATATGGAGGTAAAGGAATGTCAGTTAGGTATATCCATATTTTTTTCTTTTTCATCTTTTCAAAATAATGTAAACTAACAGAAATTTAGGAATAAACAATGAATTACATAATTATACACTTAAAATGTACTGATCTGTTTAATACGTAAAAGTATGTGACTAGATGGATTCTGCATGGTGTTTAAAGGTATATTTTATTTATTTTTGTAGAAAAAATAAAGATAAACATTACACTTTTTTTTCAACCAGTTGATTTTTATACATATAAAAGCGTATTGAGATATTACATACATGTAATATTTTGGAATATCTTTTTATTCTATTTTAAGCAATATGAAAAATAAAACTTGATTTTGCTGTTATGTGACGCCAGATCTCTTTCATGAGTTTATCATTGACAGAGAAAAGTTTTTTTTAAAGCAGTTTACGAGAAATAACTATCACTCCCTTAAAGTGGATAGGTCTACAATGAACGCAAATGCCATAAGTATATCAAATATTGATAAAAAAAAAACAATAGAAATATATCATTTTGATATTTTTATGAAGTGTTTCTTGGAAAAAAAATGTGAAGGAGAAAAGATTCAAATTGAAAATGTATATGAGAAATAAGGATATATTGTTCTGGAACAATTTATTATCTTCTTAATATAGATATGTAATATTGGATCATGTATTTTAATGATTACCAACAGCATCCATATATATAATTATTTTGTGATTTATTGTCATGCATTATACTAAATACTAAAAACATAGTAATATATGATATAACAGACCTTCTATTACAGGTCAATTCGCTTTAAAGACACGTTAGGCATCAAAAATCACTGTGTTTTTGTTTTTAGAAATTCTTTAGAATGGTCAAATATGTGTTTAATAATATTTGTATAATATATTTAGAGTATGTAAGCTGGTTAATAACTGAATAAAGTAAGGGCTGAATATGCAGTTATGTGTCCTGAAGATTGCAAAATCTAAACAAAGTATAGTATTTTGACTTCCATACAAAAACCATTTCACTGTAATTTTACCAATTTCCAAAGAGCAAAAGAAGCAAAGGTTAATCTATATGGAAAATGGAAACTTTTTGGAAACTGTAACAAGATACTAAAACTAAAAAGATTTTGAGAAATGAAAATGATAACATTTTGTAAAAGATTACACATGACCATTTATTTCGTGTTTATGTTTTTTTTTTCATCGACATTTTGATATTTTTATTAGTTTGATTATTATTAGTGTCTATGCTATTTTGGAAGCACGACTGCATTACAGAACTCTGATAGAGATAGATAAACTTTGTAGACTGTGTCCAGGTATGAATGTGTTATATAATTATCGCAGACTGGAATTTTTCTTGTGACTAAGAAATGTTAGGTTAAAAAATGTACGAGAACAAGACAACCAAATATTTTATCGTAGAAATTCAGAAACGCCTTCGCTCTTACAGGTCCATTTATCATGTAAATGAAGGAAAATTAGACGTTCGCATGCATATGACAAACATATCATATTTGTCTAGTCCGTAATAATGATTTGTTAATACTTTGATTTTTTTTTGGAAAGATTTTTATGCCTATTTAAGGAAATTGACGTTATTCATTTATGTTATTTTCAAAACAATATTTGTATCATGGACTTATTGTTTGTGCTAAAATGTGTATCTCTGCTTGAATATATTTTTGATGTTCCGTTCCTTCTCATATTGACTGTACGGTATAATTCGCGTGGTTGTTATCTGCGAATCATCCGAGTCTTATATGGTTTTGAAAAAAGACAAAAAGACGTATGATTTACTGTGGAATGAAAATATTATTTTACGAGCCCTCAACAAAAATACAGAGTACATTTACATTCCGTGACATCTTCGGAACCCATTTTAAAGTTCTTGCTTTGTAGCAAAACATTTTTATTTATATATTTGTCAAATGGAAAGGCATTGCTTCCTTATCTTAGTACACACTTATTGGACTTCAAAATTGTCTGATTTAATGTAGTGAATGTGCATTTTAAGTTATTCATTACGATAAAATTAAATCCTGCATAAAATAGACTGTCTCCATCTAAAATGGCTCAGTTTTGCATTAGACAAATCACATCGGTGTAAAAGCTGTTGCATTTTTATCAAACATCTGAATTTTATATCTATCCATCAATTTATACCTAGAAAAAGTTCGTTTTGAAGAAATTCATTTATATTTTTAATTTATTTGTATTGTATTTTTAGTTGCTTTAACGAGATCGTAGTTTCCAACTCCCAAACATTTAATAACCGTTATTTTTTATATTGTAACTTAGGCATTAAGGGGATCTGATCCATTACTAAATCTTAAAAAAAAAAAAAAAAAAAAAAAAAAAAAAAGCACACGTGACCTCGCCATTCTTCATCAATAAATAAATTATGTGTATTAACTGATAAAGGAAAAAAAACAGTACATTATTGTATATCATTGAAAGTATTAAAATGATAATATAGCAAACTACTTTGCCTATTTCTTAGCAATGCAGAAGTATAACGACTTCTGTCTGCCCCAAGTTTAGAAACCTTAAGATATCTCATACGGTCAATCTCGTGTTTCCTTGAGCAAAAACTTTACTTTCAATGCTTTGTACTGGTTGGATCCAGGTACAGATTCGATAGTGTTGTAACAACTTTAACCGAACTACATTGTAAAATAAATTTGCATAAACTAATCTGGTGACGATGTTGTGTCCATATTGTCAAGATGGTGTCGTGGTGCTAAACTTTTAGAAATGTCTGAAACTTTTAAAGTTTTTGCTCAAATTAAGGCCTTTTTTGTTGATACATTTCTTATTGAAAGTTTTAATATCGTTTAATTGGGATATCCAAGGCAATACGAGCATGTGAACACTTTCTTTCTTTCTTTTTTTCTTTCTCTTTCTTTCTTTCTTTCTTTCTTTCTTTCTGTCTTTCTTTCTTTTAAATCTGTGAACTTATTCTCAGGAGAAATAACCTGTTCGGAATTATCTGCTTAGAAGTTGGTCAATCATGCTAAGGATAAGCAAACAAATGACCTTTGGTGATATTTTGTATTGGACAAATCATTGAGATCACTTACAGTTTGTTTGTATTTACACGATGATCGATTTATCAAGTCTGTAGCTAGCGTCAAGCTTCTCTTGTCTTTTTTTACGAGGTCATCCGACCATCCATGTTGTGATATTGATCGGTGTTAATGTTTGTTTTCTGGCAGACGACAATCTGGTTACTCTAATCTTATGTCCGGTATAGATACCGAGAAACAAATGGCATTTATCAAAGCCAATGCATTTCATTAATAAATATTATTGTAAAAACGGAGTATTAGATACATGTAGTTTGTTTAAAAAAAATATTTTTTTTAAATGAAATCGAGAAAACATGTTTGTAGTTGTTTTATAAAAAGCACTCAATAAAAATAGCTAATCAAATTTAAAAAAGAAAAAGAAAAAAGGTGAATTTTTATCGAGGACACTATGGTAATATCCAGCTATACTGACCAGAATGCCTTTCCTTATCAAAAAGTGAAATATTTATAAATTCAGTACTTAACCCTCTTTTGATGTCATTACCAACATATTTGAATGGTTAATATTTCTATTTTCAGAGATTCGGACAAATGACTTCTACGACAGCAACACACTATTACCAGGCTACAATGACACATCCACAGACTCGAACCTGCCACCACGAAGTCCCGGACTGGTTAGCACCCACAGTGCTTGGAGTGAACTGCTAAACATAAACCCTGGAACATCTAGACGATCTTCTGAAGGCGGTATCAGTGATTTTTCACGGTAATATTTCAATTCTACACAGTAAAATCATAAAACACTCTTAAAATAATGCATAAGGCACGTGAAACAACTGATTTTATATGCTAGCATGTTACAACAATTGATTTTATGCACAATCAATGAACAAGCATGAAACACAAACGCTTCTCTGGCAGATGAATGTTTCCTTTAAAAATATTGATATAAGATTTGAAAAACAACAACAACAGTTACTCGAGTGGCGGCGTCTGACTAGTAATCTAAGGATTGCTGGCAACGTGGGTTCAAATCCCGTCCGGGCCAAGAGTAAGTAAATTAACACTCATTGCTGAGTACTGAGTACTGGTTAGTTCCAGGATTGGATTCGAGAGTGTTTAAATAAGCAAACTAAAATAGATTAGTATAAACTAAACAAAATGGCTACATATATATCATATTATAGAATTCTGCTGTTGTTTGAATGGAATGTGTGATCATGGAATTAATTTATCACTGTTTTATACCTTTTAAAAACATAAAATTATTTCTGTACAAGAACTTTTGCAGGAAATGAATGCCAAATTTTTTTGTAGCTATACATGTGTTTTTTTGTTTGTTTTTTTCGTTTTTGGTTGTTTTGCTTTACATTCAAGAACATACATGCCAGATATATTATAAACGTATTTAAAAAAAAACCAATCTAAGTTAATACTATCAATAAATTAAAACAAGTTATTTATTTGCTTTAGTGATTTCGTTGCATGAAACATTATAATATTGTAAAATGAGATTTTGAAGGGTAACACAAATTTGACACTTAATTATCTGAAAAATAATTTCATTTAATCAATCATCTGATCTCTTTTTGGCGATTAAACGAAAATAAAACCCTTACAAAATCTGCTTTTACAAGATTTTATTTTTTTGACGTAATTTTGCTTATGATTTTTTTAATAGCACTAGAAAAAGTAATATTATATGTACAAAATCTGTTTTGAGAAATGTGATTTTTTTTCTCACTTCGTTGGTATGTTTATATGAAATGAAACTAAACTTAATCCTAGATTTATTGACAATAACAAACATGTTAGTTATGTATCCAGATTTACGATAATTTCCATGAAAATTTTAAAAATGTATTTCAAAATAAACTATTTTGAAGTGAAAAAAGAAAGAAAGTTACACATTTCAAACTACACAATCCGCGGTAATTACTAAAAGAGGTCAAAATATGCAAAACATTAACGCTTCTGCGTTAGTGACGCAGTAGAAATGTGGTGACAAATACTGCATAATTAGTCATTAATCGTACATAATATGTAAAATTTTTCTTGAATCTGGTATCTTTTAACTTTTCTTAAAATCTAAGTACATTTTTGTCAAATTTAATTGTTCTTGAAATATTTTGGCATTCAGCTTTAGATAATATGAAATGAAACTTAATCTTAGTTTTGCAGAACCTTATTAACATTTTAATAGTAGCACTTCCTTGTCAAATATGTAGATATTATTAAACTCCTTGATTAGCAATATGTGCGTAAAATGTCATAGTTTGCCTTGAAACATTGAAATAATAAAAATATATGGATTGTCAGAATGGATATTGACGTACAATTTAGATACTAAAATATGTTATTTCCAAACGTTCTAGGTCAATTTCTATACCATCAGCAACGAGGTAAGACTTAATATCCGAGCCCTTTCTGTCTTTCTTTAAAAACTTAACATGTCCATTTATCTCACATTCATAGCCATTTAAGAATAACTTCCATCTGAGAGATTTTACTTGTCGTTTTTGCGCAAGTACTTACGACACGCTTTTATCAGTTTATTTGGTCAATGTTATCACAAAATAAACTTATAAAGCAAATTTGTTGTAAAACATTTATCTCATCTTATTTGTAGTGATAAAGGTCACTCATATATGTCTTTGCACGCTGTCATGTACCATCATACACTCATACACTGTTTTGTTCCATCACACGCCACATGTGTCATTTTACGCAATCGTGTGCCATTATACTACATCATGTGCCATTATACACCATCATAAGCCGTCATATACCATTATGTACCACCATCCGCCATTGTGTGCAATCATACGCCATCATGTATCATCACACGCCATCATATACCATCACACGCCATCATGTATCATCATATGCCATCATGTACCATCGCATACCACATGTGTCATCATGTATCATCAAATGCCCTCATGTACCATCATACGCCACATATGCCATCATACGCCATCATGTATCATTACATGCCATCATGTACCATCACAGGCCACATGTGTCATCATGTATCATCACACGCCATCATATACCATCACACGCCATCATGTATCATCATATGCCATCATGTACCATCACAGGCCACATGTGTCATCATGTATCATCACATGCCATCATGTACCATCATACGCCACATATGCCATCATACGCCATCATGTACCATCACACACCACATGTGTCATCATACGCCATCATGTATCATCAAACGCCATCATGTATCATCAAACGCCATCATGTACCATCCAAGCCATCATGTATCATCACACGCCACATGTACTATCATACGCCACATATGCCATCATACGCCATCATGTATCATCACATGCCATCATGTACCATCACACGCCATCATGTACCATCTAAGCCATTATGTATCATTACACGCCATCATGTACCATCACACGCCATTATGTACCATCAAACGCTTTCATGTATCATCACACGCTATCATGTACAATCATAAGCCATCATGTACCATCACACGCTTTCATGTACAATCATAAGCCATCATGTACCATCACACGCCATCATGTACCATCACACGCCATCATGTAATATCAACGCCGTCATGATTCTTAACACGCTATAACACTGACACAATTTTAGTTTTGTGCTCTTTATAGTTGTCATGTTGTTTTAATGTTTAATGTATACCTATCCAATATTTGCGGAACGAATAAAACATGCATATATCTTTATTTTTATAGACTGTAATACCCTTTTGTATCATAGTTTGGAGACCTTTCTGTTGAAAATGTGTCAGGGTTAAATCGTTTACATATACATGCACAGTGCGTTAACTGGAGTGTGGGTATTAGTTACCAGCACTCCAGAGCATGCCCATTGATTGGCTCATTTTTGTTGGGGTTTACATATTGTGACGGCAGTGAAAGTGAAATCGACAGAAATGTCATATTTAGATGCTCGTTCATTGGGTTCATTTTTGCCGGGGTTTCATATTGTAACAACAGGGAACGTGTTTTTATGTTTGACTATGATACAAAAGAGAAAGAACACCAAAACACTCGGTAATCTGATTAATACTCGGGGGGCTACGCCCCCTCGTACAAATCAGATAACCTCGGGTTTCGGTGCTCTTTCTATTACTTATCTTATTCCAATAGTGACTCCCATTTTAAGATTGATTACGACCGTTTTTATGTTATTTCAAAATTGACTATGAACGCGTTTATGTCATTTCAAAATTTACTTGGATAAGATATTCTTATATCTCATTTCATGACTGACTGTGATACCCTGATATCTTATTTCAAGATTGACTAAGATACCCTGATATCTCATTTCAATTTTGATTGTGATACCCTGTATATCATTTTAGGAGTAATCTTCTACACAACAAACGCTTTGTAGCTCATTTCATTATCGTCAGTGAATAGAAAATGTTTAGCCGGCCTGAACTATTGACCCTTAAAATTGAGCTTATATTACATGACTTTTATCATCTTCACCATTTTTTTATATAAGTCTTTTTTGTTTTGCTTTTTGATATCGCAAATATTAATTTACTGCACTCACCTTTCTGTCTCCTCCCGTTCTTTGGTCTCGTTTTTGCTCGGTGACCTAATGAGTTTCTCGCTTTTGTCCGGTGTCATTTGAGAACCTTGCTTCTGTCCGGTGCCCTACTGAGTACCTCGGTTTTGCTAGGTGCCATACTTCTGTTCAGCGCCTTACTCTGAGTACCTCGCTTGTGTCAAGTGCCTTACTGAGTACTTCACTTCTCTCCGAAGCCTTATTTATTACATCGCTTCTATTCAGTGCCTTACTCTGAGTACCTCGCTTCTGTTCAGTGCCCTATCGAGAACCACACTTGTGTTTGTTGCCTTACTGTTCCTTTGTTAGACGTCCTTCTGAGTACATTTCCGTTGAGGCATGTTTGACTATAGGCTTTGTCGAGGACAGCATTTGCTTTCCCATGTTGATCTTTGTGCTCATATTTATTTGTTATTTATCGTGCTTTTTATCCGAACCTTGTTTTAATCTACCTATTAGCTATACGGTGTTTTTGAGAAGTACCCTCCCCCTTTGTTTTATCACGTATCATTTAATATGTTCCCTTTATTGTATCTTATTTTTGTGATTGAAAGCGTCCTTTGATCAACTCAAAGAAAACAGTACAAATGCGTCAAGAATGATATTTTTTTCTAATATAACGAATCATCATAATTTTATATTGCCAAAATCTAACCACCTTTAAATTTTGTAAGTACACTTCTTGCAATAAACGAGTCTGTTAAAGGAAATTCAAAATTCAATCTGAATTGGTAAATTTTATGCAAAATTAAATTTAACTTTAGGCCATCATTTATATTTCTCTCAGGAATTATTTTAGCGTCATATATTCCGCAATTAAGTGAAATCGGAGATAGAAAAGATGCAAATGCAGTTTCTGGTAGTTAATTGCAAATGTTGGGACGCCATGGAAATCGATAAAACGAGAAATTAACCCTATTTTATTGTAATATTCAACGTCAGATATTGTTAGTACTGTCACAATTTGAATTTTAACTTAATTTTGTAATATCCTTACGGCTTTAACGGAATAAAAGATACAAATTTGCATGTTTCAATGGCACAAATTTGTTTTCCTGGCTGCGTGCCACACTGCCTGATTTGATTGCAAATTTGATTCAACTAGATTCCATGATTTAAATACAGTTTAAAACACGTATAAAAACCAATTTTGTGTCTAGAAGACATTGCTTTGGAAATGAAAAGTAGTAATTTTATTTATTTGTTAATTTATTATTTATTCATTTATTTATTTATTTACATTTCAAAATTTTACAGTGTGTCGAATGTTAGCAGCAGCCTATCTGAACACCTGCGGAATTTGGTTAGAGCGTTCTCCAGCCGTACCGAGAAGGTCAAAGAGTGCACACTGCAGCCACCGAGTCCGTCATCACTGTCGGATTACGCCGGCTCGGATGCTTTATCAGGTTGGTGCATATACTCAATACCAGTACCAAGAAAACATTATGTATTACTTAATTGATTACTAAATTGCAAATGAATCGTATACCATTTAACAAGGTCTGGCCCGAAATGTTCATGGTCCGAAATGTCCATGGTCCGAAATGTCCATTATATAAGTCTACTTAAATAAAGGATGATCCTATAAAAATTTCTTCCAGATAACGAATTAACTTAACATAAAAACTATTGTCGAATGTTAAATTCATGATGGCTATGTTTGAAAGGTTATTTGCTAAAATCTTATTAAAAAACATGAAAGCTACAAAATACATGTGATTTTGACGTCAAAAAACAAGTTCAAATGTATTCCATGCTAAGATTTAATTACTCCTGCATGAATATGCGTAGCTTTAAATTTGGAACAGTTGATTAAAAGGGGATTGCAATATCAAAATATAAAAAACCGAGCTATCACATATACATCACTTACACCATTCGATTCGTTTCATATTTATGCTTACTAGTTGTTTCAATAAAGGGAGATACATGTAGTACACTGAAAAACATATTATGCGACCGCGGTTATCTCTCTTTCAGTGTATTGTACATTCATTTATGTAGCTCCAGTACATACATATTGTTTGATCATATATTAAATATTTTGAATTCGAAAGATTGCATATATTTCCCAGTTTGAGTTTCGTCGTTATATGATGACCGGATGTGTGCAAACTTTAGTAGAAACACGTTTCCTATCCAGTAATTTCTACGTCAAAACCGCATCATTTAGCAATTCTTAGTTCATTTCGTGGGTCAAAAATCATTTAAATCACAAAATATGTGGCGCCATTTCGTTGTTCGATTACTATAGATTATAGAACTGGAAGCCCACCGACTCGGACAGTTTGGGATCTGTTATTTTTCTTTATTTCTCATCTGGGTAGTGATATATTTGAGATTTGAAAAAAGTCGTCTGCTGGGAGCCTTACATTCTGCTGGCATTAAATATTCTAACGTTGTAGATACAATATGGCTAAAGTGACTAATAAAAACACTTTGTAAAATTAAGAAATATTTTGTTTTGTAGCGAATATGACATGGTTGAAGGATTTTTTTATTTTGATAATTATCAGTTGATTTTTTTTGTTACACGTATATGTTTCTTTTTATTCAAACTTTCATTTTAAGAAATTCATGTATTGACCTGTCTTTTTGGTGTTTCCCAAAGCCATGTTTGGTTTGCTATAATTTTGGTAAGATGTGGAATGCACTTAGTTTTCGGAATGGATACCAAGAATAATTCTAATCTCTGAAAAAAATAGATATAAATGTTCAAAAAGTCAGGACTTGGATAAACCGTCAATATGCGATAATCATAGATTAGCTCCACACCAGGCATGCTCCGTATTAATGCATTCATATCAAAACTCTTTAGGTGCCAAATGTTTTAAACAGGGATTCCCCGAGCATACGTAAATAAAATGAGCAAATGAAAATCGTTTCTTTAAACTAAAATCTTATGTAAAACAACCAGAAAAATAATGAGCCGTACTTGAGGGGAAATTATTCTTATAATTAGAAGTGTCTCTTTCATATCTCACTCAACCTTGTCATCGGTTAACCATTTTTAGCTAATGATGAAGATAACGAGAATATAGACATCTATATAGAATGCCAACTGAATATTGTCGGAGAAAAATTGACTTTTCGACCTTTTCGGATGATAGTGTCAAGGCAATAGGATTACGGTGATAGATTGTAAGCGGCCATGACCCTATCAGTCATTTTATAGAAATTGAGCTATCTTTATGTAATTAACATGTCGCATATACAAATTGTTGGTCGTCAATTTTGTCGAAACGTCGATATTAGATATATATGCTTTATGGCAAATGATTTAATAAGAGTTAAATTACAAACATTTTAACTATATATGATATAGGACTTGATAAGTATGTATAATTTGTGTAAAAATATGTGAAATGTTATAATAATTATGTCAACAAATTGCTTATTTTCCTGTCTATCATTTATCAGTAATTGAACTGAATGAAAAATATCATATTCATGTATACACATGTACATTGCACTCGACAGAAAATCCATAGAAACTACAATGTATATACTCATTGTCTTGCTTGAATTAGATAATTATCTTCCGGGAGAATAAAGAAATGTTTTTGTGAAATTAATAACTTAAAGTTGACATAAGGTACACGTTATATAAAGTTTTGCATCTTCTCTATTCGTAAATTGTCTTGAAAATGTACATCTGATAAGGAAAAACGAAGCAAGCCGCAGAGCAGAAGGGGAATTCATTTCCCAATGTTGATTGTTGTTCTGTTTTTTGTTTGTTTTTTTTTTTTGAAATCTTTGTTGTCTACAGTTCGTGCCATCAATGAATTGTATAAATATTTTCTTTTCTGAACGAAACTTTTAAATAACTTATACCGCCGGTATGCATCCACTCATTAAAGCTGTTTGGTTCTTTTATATGAGATGTGTGTTTCAGAACTAATACATCTTATTCAGTTATCATTTTTTCTAGACAACTTGCAATAAATCATTTACTTTATGTACAACAAATTACTCTGGTATTGCATGCTCACAAAGTTTTATTCCAATCTTCCATTGAAAATGAACTTTTTCAGCAATTGATATACCCTAATAAAACTAGAGAACCCACTAGTCGCCTGCTTTATGAGAGCTATAGAATCTGCCAAAAGACAAAAATAATTTCATAAATGGAGAAAGGTATGGGCCAGGTTTTGAGAATAAGCTTTATTAGTGGTTCTATTCCTTCATTCCTATACAAGTAGCGTGTCCGGGCAATGTAGCATTGTCACTGAAGAAGGAAACATGTTCCACACCATGATCGCTTTGTCGCCTTGTACAATTGTTTGTGATCCACTGTTGGTACAAATTCTTACAAAAATACTTATCGGTGACATTTCATCATATCGAATCAATAACTTTAAAAGCAGGACCATGTATAGAAAATAAGTTGGAATGCAAAACTATTCGCCGAGTGTGAGATACATGCTCATTTTCAAAGCAGAAAATAGAGTGTTGTAGATATTTTGAATGACCATTTATCTGATGAATGATATAACACTCTTTTATGTGCTTTTAAATATATGCAATATCGGATCAATGCTCAGCAAATAACAAATGTTCAAGGTAATTGAATTGCCCATATTAAACTAAGATACTTTGCAAACCTGGTCAAACTAATGCACACAGGTTCAGCATCAGTTATAGGTCTAGAGAAACAATATTTGGTGTAGACGCAATAACTGTTATGTATAAATATGTGACTGACATCGCTTCCTGTTCATTATACCATAAATGTGGTATTCAGAGAGAACAAATCGTATTTACTTCCAGTTCCCAAGCTCTTTTAAGTTAGTTCTTCATCTGATACCTACTAGAGTGAAAATAAAAATCTACATAGTAATTGTGCCTTTTAATATTTCTTAAGTCTGGAAATATCACACACTACATACAAAAACGTGTTTTAACTCTTATATTTAAACTCGAATTTTCTAAGTTCTAATGAAAGAGGAAATTCCAAAGCTTCTGTGAGTATTTATTACCACACCGACTATATTTACAAGCAGTGTTATTATATATATAAACGTATTTAAACAGCTATGACTCTATTGGTATAGAATTGTTTTCTTTGAGATGATGATTTTGATTAAATATGAATTGGAATAACTTCATGTTTCTTTTGAGATTTTATTGAAGTTGCATAAATAGTGAAACATCCCTTTTGCTAAAGAGTTAAAGGATAAGATACACATGGTTTTCCTTATCTACGAACAATGATTTATTTCTCTTCTTTTTACTTTTACCAGACAAAGAAAAATACTGGCCAGTAATCGATCTTGATTATTTCTTTCAATCGATCATATCCAATAGAAATGAAAAGACATTTGCTGTTTTGTTCTTGTTTTCAACGGACCCTCGTATTTTATCCCACCGTTAATGGAGGTTTTTATGGTCAGGTTATAGAAGTTTTATGAACTGCTCGGCATTTTAGAAATTTTATTAGTTAATACCTTTTATAAACTTCCATCACTGCAATATTGTTACCATGGCATATGACTTGCTTTAAGTATAATGATAGAGATTCTCCCCAATTTCCGAAAAGATAAATTTATATATAGGCCTATTTGGAGAGGTATTAGATTGATTGTCACCCGGGAATTCTATTGAGGATTTTGTAATTATATTCCTTAGGCCGAACAGAATGTGTCACGTGGATGAGGTTAAATTATCTGAGATTTCCGTTTTCATTACTTTAGTGTTCACTCCAGAACGTCAATCCATGATGTGGATTTTAAGATACGAACAGATAAAACTAGAGCAGGTTCTCTAGGGTGCAGTAAGGCACTGATTATTTGAATATAGGCAAAGGCTGACTCTCTGTGGGTTTGTCAACTCTTTAAACACCGCATTTTTGGATTATTAGAAATAACAAGTGAAAAAGAGCAGATGTAGACCTATTTTGATTATGGTAAGAACTGTGGTTCTGTAACATATCACGATAAATGATTTGTAATAAAGGTCGCCATGTTGGAGCTGTGAAACTAGCCGGCTGCCAAAAATCTATAAGTACTGATGGAATTTGTTATTATAGAGAGGGAGATGTTACGTTAGGGTTTACTTTGGCTAGAATAGTCAATGAAAGAATTGTGCAATATCTGAATGTAAAGTTTTGTAGTTCCTTTTCTGTGTGAATCAGAAGTGTTATTCAATTGGAATCGATGTTTTAATTTTTCAATTGGTTTTATTTGGAAAATTTATTTCAATATTGGATGCGATTCAAATTTTAAGAAAATTATTACAACCATAATGGAAGGACAAATGAATATATCTTTCAAGCAGACGATGGATTTAAAATTAAAGTTGGTTAAATGAATTTTGATTTAAAGGTAAACGTGTCGTTATTATGTTGATTGAATGAGCATGTAGTAATCTTATTTTTTTCTAAAGAGGAGAAGGAAAATGTTTTACA